GTACAGAATGAACTGGTGATTACAATGAATCAGGGACATAGAAGGGGAATGGACTGACTATTCTGGGGCGGGGGGGGGAGGGGAATGGGAGATGCGGGAAGAGAATGGACAAAAATCGTGCACCTATGGATGAGGACAGTGGGTGGGGAGTGACGGCGGAGGGTGGGGCGGGAACTGGGAGAAGGGGAGTTATGGGAAAAAAAGAGGAACAAATGTAATCAGAACAATAAAGATTTACTTTAAAAAAAAAAAAAAGACTGTGATTTTAAACGTGCTCCCTCCTCACTGCAGAAAATGTGCAAGATCAGGGAAGTAAAAGCTATAGTTCAACCAGCACCCAATACACGAGCATGTAACTTAACAGTAAGTCAGGGCGTTTGCCCTGTCGTTCCAGACTCTACAAACACTCACTCTAGAGTGCGAGGACAATTTGAATTTGCCAGTCCCATTGGGAGAAGCGTGTACATGACCCTCAATTTAAACCTGAAACAAGGGTTCAATGAGGGCCCCCAGCCACGTGCAGATCAGGGGAGGGTGGCGGATGGCTGGGGACAGCTGTCCTCGTGGGTGTACGACTGGCTGAGGCCAGACAGGTTGTTGGGGGTGTGTTGTGTGTTTTTCTCCTTCTCACAGCACCATCAGCCTCCAGGGGTGTAAGCTGAGTCCACAGATACAATACTGAAAGGAAGAAGTCACATCTCAACGGAGTCATGTTGTTTCATTCCACTTCTATGAGGTGCAAAGTCAGGCAAAAACCAACCTGTGGTAATGGGAAGTGCTCACACGGGTTCCCTGTGGAGGGGGGACAGCTGTGGGGGGACAGGAGGGACTCCCCATCTGGGGGTCTGGACATCGCCCGCCTCAGTCTGGGTGATGTTATACCACCTGGAGACCTAGGACCTTGCACTCAACTGTAAGTTTTACCCCCAGTGACACGGTGAACGAACAGAGGGCGCTACACTGCTTACATTCCCGAGAAGGAAACGTTTTCCGAAAGGCATAGCAGTGTAGGGCAAACTTTTTGACTCTAGGGCCACGATGGGGTTTTAAACTGGACCGGAGGCCGGAACAAAAGCATGGATGGAGTGTTTGTGTGAACTAATATAAATTCAAAGTAAACATCATTACATAAAAGGGTACGGTCTTTTTTTTTTTTTTTTTTTAGTTTTATTTCAAACGGGCCGGATCCGGCCCGTGGGCCGTAGTTTGCCCACGGCTGGCATAGAGCCATAATGTCCCAAATGAACTCACAGATGAAAAGGCAAATCAGTCCAGGCGGGTTCACCAGGATTGCTCTTGGCTTTGTTGTTGTTTTCATGAGAAAAGAAGTTTAACACCTCAAACCATTTAAATCCAAATGACAGGTTAGAAGTGGTTGAAAGTGAAACCCGGGAAGAAGAAATGAGGAAGTGAAACAGTCCTTGCAACATAACAACTAGAGGAGCTGTGTCAGCGACTGTCATGGAGCGTGTGGTGAGCCAGGGACCACACAGCACCTGCCGGTGAGTGTGATTGGGAGCCTCGCTGATGACGAAGGTGGAGTTGACATTCGGGGGGTGGCGGGCAAGGCAGCATCAATTCAGTTGATGTCGGCAACTGGACGAGATGTGTCATCTCCAAGGGGAAGCGAGACTGACCCCTCTCCTGCTCCACTGCTCCCTTCGGACTCTCTCAGCCCCAGCTAATGACCCCCCAGCAGAGAGGATCAC